GAGATTCTAGACGCCGAAATAACAGCTGATGAGATAAGTTTGACTGTGAATACTATTCCTACATCAAAAGCTGCAGGTCCAGATGGTGTGGTTAATGAAATGATTAAAAACTCATTGGATGTAATGTTACCTTATATTCTTTTACTTTTTAATTTAATATTATCAACAGGACATTTTCCACAGAAATGGTGCGATGCTATAATTCACCCCATTCATAAGTCAGGCAATGTGCAAGATCCTAAAAACTATCGCGGAATTGCCTTGCTATCAGCGTTAAGTAAAGTTTTCACAAAAATTCTGAATGTTAGATTGACGAAATGGTGTGAAATGAATGATTTATTTTTGGAAGCACAGGGAGGGTATAGAAAGAGGTACAGAACAGTCGATCAGATATTCACATTACAGGCCCTTATTCAGAAATATTAAACAAAAGCTAAAGGCAGATTTTATTGTATTTATGTCGATTTTAGTACCGCATATGATGGAATTCAGCATCACTTAATGCAATATATGCCATTAAAAAATGGAATTCGAGGTAATGTTTTTAAAGTGATTCAATCAATGTATAGCAAATTAAAATCATGTGTGCAAACTAATAAAACTCTCATTACTGATTACTTTAATTGTACAATTGGCACCAGGCAAGGCTGCATGATGAGTCCACTATTATTCACTTTGTTTTTAAATGAGCTTATAGACAGGTTGCATGAACGTCAAGGTATATTTGTAAATCCCGAAATCAATAATATTGTAGCTTTGTTATATGCAGATGACATTGCAGCTGTAGCTGATACAGTCGCCAGATTACAGGCACAAATTAACTGTATACAAACCTTTTGTAAAACTTATGGTATGAAAATTAACCTTAAAAAAACCAAAGTAATTGTTTTTAGACATGGGGGGATAATAAAGAACTATGAACGATGGTATTTAGATGGAAAGCAAATTGATATTGTTAATCATTATAAGTATTTAGGTATATTTTTTACTCCCAAGCTATGCTGGACACTAGCAACGGATACTTTGGTTTCACAGGCTTGTAAAGCCTCAAACATGTTGTTGGGTTTTATTAATAAATGTAATATAAGTGTCAACGATTCCTTATTTTTATTTGATCGTATGATTGTGCCAATTTTGTGTTATGGTTCTCCTATATGGGGCTTTAAACCCAAAGACTCTATTGAGGCACTGCAGCTCAAATTCATTAAGTCTATACTGCATGTAGGTTCCACAACAAGAAATTGTGCTATTTATGGAGAAGTTGGGAGATTCCCATTATATGTAATATATATATGTAACTGTGTTCAATATTGGTTAAAATTACTAAGCTTACCATGTCATAGATACCCTAAAGCGGCGTATAATATGCTTCTGAGTTTGCATGAAGCAGGGAGAGTTAACTGGGCATCTCATATCAGAAACATATTACACGAATACGGTTTTGGATATGTTTGGGACAGGCAGGGTGTTATCAGTGTAACGACATTCATGTCGGAATTTAAACAAAGAATTAAAGATTGTTGTCGTCAAGAATGGTCAATTGACATCCATCTCAACTCAAAACTTGAAAACTATTGTTTATTTAAGAAATCATTAGAATTTGAAAGTTATTTAAATATACATAATTATAAACATAGAGTTGCACTAACTCGATTCAGGTGTTCTAACCATGATTTATCTGTAGAAACTGGAAGATGGCAGAATATCCCTAAACCCGAAAGAGTATGTAAATGTAAATTGTAGTACAAGAAATGTAAATATTATTGAAGATGAAATTCATGTTTTGTTAGAATGTCCTTTATATGATGATTTGAGGAAAGAATTATTGCCTTGTGTAAATACGATGTTAAATTAATTTTTGAAAATGTAATGTCTCATGTAAATAGTAACAGCATTGAGAATTTAGCAACTTTTGTTTACCGTGCATATATTTTACGGAAAAGAACTATGGTAAAACTATAATTTATGATAGATGTTTACCAAATGATTATGATGTATGAATATTTATTATGTTGGATATATTTTTTATACATGCTGTTATATATTTTGTTACTATAATATTGTATATTGTGAATTTGTACTATGGGCTGGTGGCCTTTTCTACTGAATAAATATGTTATGTTATGTTATGTTATTACTTTTGAAATTTTGTGGAAAAATTAGATGAAAAAGCTACAGAATTTCACCAGTCTTAACCAAGTTGTTAAAGTGTGTGCCTTAAAGGGGCCTTAGGTTTTTTTGTAAACCATTTTCGTTATCGAAAACGTAAATGATACCTGAAAATATTTCTAAAGTGTGCTATTTTTATCTATGTGTCTTCTTGATCAAACTGAATTTTTTTTAAAAGGGTTAATTAAAAACTGCGAGTACTAATTGTTAATTAAGCAGTATGACCTAGTTTCGGTGATTGACTTTAAAATGGCTCGTTATATTTAGTTGAAATCTTTCGAAAACGTAAAGATATATTTCTCTAATCATGTGTTTATTTTACTCCGTATAGTAGTTTTCTAACAGCTTGCAAAAATTAACAGCTTGATTTTTTTAGTTATAACTTTCAGATACGTTATGGAATACATTTTGGTTTTATAGCTTTCACAAATTTGAGCAAATTTCGACCTACAAAAACCGGAATGTCTCTTTAACTGGATATTAATGAGTAAAAATCAAAAGCCGAACGATTTTTAAATGCAGAGAGTCATAAAACACATAAATCCAGTTTTAAAAATTGTTCGTCCAAGATGGGTGTTATGAAACAATAGGCCTTACTGTTTTATAAACAGTTGATATGGACTATGCTCGAGCTTAACAAGAGATAACGAGTTAAAGGAGACATTCTTTATGGACATTTAATCGCAATTTAATCGCAATCGTTTGAATTTCATTTCATTCTTCATTGAAATTAAATCTTATTTGAAGCTACGAAAAAACGATTTTCTCTTTTTAAAAAAAACGCCACATGTTTGAAAGCATAATACAGAGGGGTTTTCGTCTTTATCAACCAGTATTATTTTTAAAGAATGAGGAAAACGAGCAATGGATGGCAATTGTCGAAGAAATCCATGTTCCGCAACAGTCGTTAAAAATGGTACTGATACTGTCACTCATATTGAACCGTATAATTAGTTACAGTAGCATACGTCTACTTTGCCGTTCTGTAGAAACACTCTTGACATTTTTTCTACAGAACGACAAAGTAGAAGTATGCTGCTTTCCCAACCAAAAGGTATATAAACTCTTATATAGGAATTCATTGATTGAAAGTCTGACTAGAGCTGAATTCCTAAATTGGCATGTTCACATGTTATTATCGTTTAAGGTAATCCCAACATAGAGATTATGTGTTTGATTTATTGATTTAGAGAGGTTCACGTCGATTGGCGATTCAAAGGCTCTTTCACTTGCATTCCCTCTCCCCACATTTGTCTCCATCTAAGAAAAAACTACTACCCAAAAGCACACACAGCCCGAGGTACCAAACTCGGTAATACCCCAACACCTGATTATACGAGATTGTAGCTAATGGGGGATAACTCTAAAATTAAATCTTTTGTAGGCTGACGGGTAGAATGTGTTGCTGTCTTTACAAAATACATAAAAATAGATTGCATGAAGTGTTTATTTACACATAATGTACAATTATTTAACAAAGCACTACAAGATTTTCACGAAAACATCATTATCACATATATACAAAATGTCAGTGGTGTTATGCACTGGTTGTTTGCTAACAGCAAAAGCACTGAATTATAAATAAATCTAGAAAACATTAAACATTAAGCACGAATATTAGAATATTATATACAACAATCTTAAAGCACTGGAATGAAATTGTTAGTACGTTTAAAAGGACATTCCGCTTTTTGTAAGATTTAATTAAAAATATCCAGCAGTTAAGAAATTAACGCCAAAACTTTACGTAACTTCGTCATGCTTTTTGAGAGATGTTAGAAAACTACTGTACGGGTTTGAGTAAAATAAATACCTAATTGTAGAGAAAAGACTCCTAGGTTTTCTAAAGATTTCAACTAAATATAACGAGCCAGTATAGGGCCAATCACCGAAACTAGGTCGAACTGCTTAATTAACAATTAGTACTCTCGGTTTTTAATTAACCCTTTGAAAACTAATTCAGTTTGATCGATTAGATACATAGATATAATTAGCATAATTAAGAAACATTTTCAGGTATAATTTAGGACGTTTTTGATAATGAAAATGTTTTGCAATAAAGCGGAAGGCCCTTTATCTAAATCAAAAACCATTCATGTAACCTTTGCCTTAGGGTGTAACGACGTCGATCTCCTCTTCACGATTATCTCCCTTTGCCGAACTAGATATAGCTGGTGTAACTGGTGTGGAAGTCGCCATCGAATTGAGTGGTGTTGGTGGGAATGGAAGATAAGTAGGTGAGTCGGTGGTGGATGGACTAGTCTCTGGAGTAAGAGGATAACTGAATCGACCCATTAATAGTTGAGACTGGGTGGGCGAGTAAGGCAATGGGAATTCAAATATTCTGTTCAATGGAGACGATACTGAAAAATAAAAATTTATCTAAATATTTTTTAATCAGATCATCAATGTTTTATAATAACGTATAACAACGGATCATCTTTCGAAATGCTATTCAAAACTAGAAGAATTGGCAACCTACAAATGCTCCCTCGAACCCCTAAAATCTCCCTGGTGATATGCTGTGCTAACGAAATTAATCTAATCTTACCTGGTGACCATAACGAAGAGCTGGACATGTTGGAAACTGGCATCATAGGATACATAGGTGACATCATCATTGGATTATACATGTAAGGGTAGGCATATGGACTTAGCATTGGTTGTTGAAATCCAACATTAGGAGCTGCTGATGTTGTAATTGGTTTTGGTTTCAACGGCGTGATCTTAATTGGTGATGGTGACGAAGATGATGATGAAGATGACAATGATAGTGAAGATGATGAGGCAGTGGAAGATGGTGATGCTTTTGGCGCTTTTTTGGACTTGGTACGCCTATTACGGGAACGACGGTTCTGGAACCATACCTGTAAAATTGGAATCAACATACATTATAAATAGTTAATTATAGTATCTTTTCGTTATGAAATACTTCCTCATTTATGATGAATATATTTCCTTATATTAAAAATTCATTAGTTACTACCAATTTATTGCCACAAACTGTTATTTTGGTTTTGGATCGCTATCGTTATTATCCAGGATCGGCCATAATGTTCGAAACGTTCATTACTTTAATTCGCAGTGTCAAATAAAAACATTCCCTTTGATTAGTTTATTAATCCTTACCTGGATTCTAGCTTCGGTGACACCGCATTCTAAACCTAAAGCTTCTCTCTGTACTATATCTGGATATGGATTCTCGTTGAAAACTGTTTCTAAACGATCTAAAGATTCATCACTGAAATATGTGCGGTTCCGTCTTTGTCGGTTCTTGGGTGGTCCTTTCATTAATGGTGAACCTACAAAATAGACATCGACATGTGAATATTTAGGGTTGTAACATGATGAATGAATGTTAATTGTGGAAATGTTGTGTTTTACATCTCCTCTAATAGACACGACACAATAAAAACTTGCAATTTTCCTGAGCTTTCACAACAAGAGAGAACAAACGGATAAGAATATGTTACTTACCACTTTCATCACAAAATGATCGTGAAAAATCCATTTTTATTGTATTATTAACAGGAATGTTGTGCTGACTAATGTATGTTCAGGAATACCAGAGGTTGAAATGATGTACCTTGACCAGAACTCACTATATTATATAGGTAGTCTAAAAACAACAACTTACCGAACTGTTAGAGAATGAAACCATCAAAGATTTAAATCGGTATCGTGGATTATATCTCGGTTCCTTTTCATCCTTGATTAGTGGATTAACGACAATGATACTCAATATTTTAAGATTATGAGAAACTGTAGATTTTTTGCTACCATTTATGCATTTCATCTTACAATATACATAAATATTTGTTATGAATTATTTCTGTTATATTTTCCCGCTGGACCTAATTCGTCGTTTTGAACGCGATACTTAGTCGATACTTTACAAGATAAATTTACAGTTACTAATAGTTTTCACATCATGCCAATTGATACTTTAATTCATTGTTTCTGAAGGGTGAGGGGGTCAAATCTAAATGACAACCTAATTAATTAACTAAAGGTTATTGTTTGTTTGCTGCCAATGTGTATAACTGATATATCTTTCATTTGCCACATAGGGGAGTTGAAGGGAGAACGGGGCGTCAGTCTACAAATTATATTTTCTTCAACATATTTTTGTGAATGTTGAACAGAAAACCTTTCTGATGTTGATGGCTTCAGAATATTGTTATTGCCGTACAGTATGGGTCGGGTCGCATTATCAGAGCTGTCGATAGATTGATTAAATAAATACAGAGCGATTACTCACGACCTTGATAATTACCGAAACTTAAGATGTGAGGAAAGAAGCCATCTTCAAACAGTAGGCTATACTAGATAGATCATAAATGTCAGTATGTTTATTTTACAGCTATTTTTGATGTTAAATGACTTTGTTAGGGTTAGGTAGGGATGGCCATATGTTTTTGAATGCCCATTTTTGTACGGTACGAAAAGTAACGACCTGTTCTATTATCCTGCGATAAATAGTATTGATGGTTGTTCATAGCCGCCAAATCTAAGACATGATCAAACAATTCTTTAAATAGGATTAACTTTTAATATACATTTTTTAGATAAAAAAGGAAATGCTTAGAATTTCCAATTAAAAATAGAGCTTTAAATTGAAAATTTATATATATTTTCACAAAATTCAGTTTTATTATCACTGATAGATTTGTTTTAATAATAGCTTTATTTAAATCTATACGTTTTGGAAAATTTGCATCAACTCCAAAATCAAAGTATTGATTATGAATTTCTTACCAAGAAATAGAAGCTCATTAAATAATTAACTGTGTTCTGATATACTGTATTTCAGAGTTGTTAATTCCCTTGAAATACACATCGCCCAACCTGTGAACGTCTCCAAGCATAAAGCATAAATGAACTTTTTTGGAATTAATTATTGGAAAAGAAAGTCTTTTCATACCTGTTCGAGTATCGATGCCATTCATTGGCAAATAGAAGTGTTTTGGATCTTCAATTAAAAATGAAGCTTTATTCGTGTTAAGTAAAAAAATCTAAAGTATCAATCGAACAATTTGGGTATCGCTTTATTTAATTATGCTTGTTTTGGTTGATTTGCACAAAATCTAAAATCACCGTTTGATGTTGAATATGATACCAAAGTAAAATTAAAAATTACTATATAATTAACTGTGTTCTGATATACTATATTTCACATCTGTTAACACCCTTGTTCCCTTTTCCCGTTTTTAAAGTAAAGTACACATTTCCCAATATTTTGCTCGATAGTTTTGAGAATCTTCCAAAACCACTAGACTAAGAAAATCAAACTCATCCATTATTTATTTATTAACAGTGTTCTGATAAACTATATTTCACAGTTAACTCCCTTCACCCATACCTGCATTATGCATTATAAATATTTTTGAAAGCAAAAGTTCATTAATTAATTAATTAATTACTTAATTATAGAAGAACGTATTTTCAAACGAGTTCTTGTATCAGTACCATTGTAATTATATTTGATATTTCTTTATTGATACTCTTATCACCGACTATATGAGTTTTTTTTTTATCTGGGGGTTAAGCACTTTAGGCCTACATTGTGAACAATTTGTCGAAGATGCATTCTATTAGTACTGACTGAAAATGTTTTTGCTTAGCTGTGGACCCATACTATATCTACGGGTTTCACCCATTTCTCAAAATAGTTCCTCTTCCAGGTTTATACATTTTTGCAAGCGATGCTTCAAGGCTCCTGGAAGCCGACCAAGAAAAAGGTTAGTTCAGTCACCCTTGGCGACCGGCTAGTTCCTTTTGCATTTTTTTGAAACATGTCTGACTTGGCCAAATTAGCCGAATAAAGGGGACATGGCAACCATAAATATGTGAACAGGAAAATTGTGTTGGACCTCCGCGCCAATTAGCAACTAATGCAGAAAGATGTCCGATTATCAATGGACGATATATATGCTATCCTACCGGGACAGTTGCTCAGATACTATCTCAGTAGGTCAGCATAATATCTTCATTTAATAGTCACATCTCTTTTATCAAGGTAGTCCATCAACAGAATACCCTTTGAAACCATGAAAGACTGGAACCATAATATTTCCAGCAGAAGGAACTGACTTGGTCTCTTGGAGAGTGGATGATTGCTGATGCTTCCATTGTTTAGACTGAATTGTGGCTTCTGGTTTTAAGTTGTGAATCCAGGTATAATCCATGACTGCAAATTATGCCAAAGAAAAAGCGAGACCAGGTTCAAAACGACATAAAGTATCATGGGACATCAAGAATCCCACACGTTTCCCGTTAACTATCAGAGATTTGGCCCCCATCTTGCAGAAAATTTTGTCATGATAAGGTGCTCAATCATCTCATGAGTGATGCCTATAAACATAATATGACGTGGGTTATCGTCAAATTTCTTTCTATCATGTTTGAATTCTGTTGCCTACTTCTTTAAAGTAGAAAAAGAACCAGCATCCGCAAAAGTGGAGTATCTGTGTTGAATTAGTGACGTCATCAAACACTTATTTTGAGAGAAATTGCAGGGACGAAAAACGTTTAATTGTAATGGTGCAAATTGTTGCTAATAGTGTCCCAAATACATATAAAAACAACCCCACAATCCCTTAAGGTCACACTACATGTTTATGACAAGATAAAATTTATTGATAATTGATATTATTATGGTTAGGAGTGGCCAATATTGTTTGTCAACAACTCCATTTGTGAGTAAATATATATCATATTCTTTAATTGAAAAAAAAAAATTAAGAGTTTATTAATTTTAAATTTTAACCTTGCTACACATATTTCAAATCTAAGGAGGCACATATTACTTTGTTTTGACTATATCCTCAAAGAGCCGATGTCCATTTGTTATACAACAAGCCATCTAATTCAATGTTGTTACAAGATAGTCGTACACGATATAAATCGCAGAAGAATTTTAAACCATCAGACTGAATTGAGAATACCTCACCATGGCTGCAGTATAACCTACTTTTGGAAATGAAAATGGTAAATCTAAAAACCTTCTTGTTCTCTATTTTAACTGATTATAATGCAATTTTCACATTGAAATAAGGAGATATGATATTGTTAATGTCCCCCTACATATCCCTAAAGCAAACGATGAATTCTATATTTCTTGGATAATGATTACCTTTTCCCTTATAGTTAGGGACTCCCGGGAGTCAGTAGTTTCCTTATTACTCACTTATTCCTTTTTTAGATGAGTCGCGAGTTATCTACCAATACCGAAGTGACGATAACATCCTTTACTACAACGCTAAGAGATCCAATTATGATAAGGTAGGTAAAAATTGAATTTTTGGGATTGGATTCACAGAGGTCTATTTTCTGTAATTAGCATATGATATAAGTATGAATATAACCATACTATAACAATAAACCATAATAAATAAACAAAACATTCCAAATATGAAAGATCTTACCATTTAAAAAAAAGGTTCTACCAGCTTCTTGATGAAAATCGTAAAATAACGTGATTGATTTCAGGAGGATAATGAAGTACTGAGAAGAATCTCAAGATGTAGCGATTTGTCTTTAACACAATCCCAAATAACATACTACGCCATGGGGCATTCCTCACTTAAAAGATCCCGTGCCGAATACCACCGTGAAGCTAATGCAACATCACTGATTACCACATCCATAAAGTTCGCCACATCTTCATCTGGCTCGGCTACATCTTACCCATCTGTATTCTCTTCACCACCTTCAGAAGCAACATCATCAGCGTCTTCCCCAATGGTCAGCTCATCTACAAGCGGTTCACTATATTTGTCACTGCTGGATTTAGAATCTACTAACTGTAGCTCTATAGAATATGCTCCAGCTAAACCAAAGTTGTCGAGTACAGATCATTGCTTTTTGGATGAAACGCCCGTTTTTTCACCAGGTGAGCATATTTTGTCGTTGCAAGTTTTGAATACACTGCTCTTATATTAGATTATATGCAGCATTTGACATTTTAAGAGCGTTAACATACTATTTGTTTGTTTATCAGCTGTCTCAGTAACTTTTTATTTGCATTTATTTCGGCAGCCCTTTCTTTACGAGTGGAAGATACGAATATAGTTTCTAACAGTACGCCAATCCACAAGAGTGTTAACGATATCAAATTTGATTTTCCAACCGGGTCTCCAATACCGACACCAAGGAGTTTTGTACCAAAGAAGTTTGAATTTCCTTCTGTGTCGAACTCGATAACAGAACTTGTTGTCAGTGGGGCATGTGAATCTGTCAAACTATAGAGTCGTAAACTGGAAATGTAATCTCCA